GTGTGTGTGTGTGTGTGTGTGTGTGTGTGTGTGTGTGTGTGTGTGTGTGTGTGTGGTGGCGTTGGCTAGCTTAACAGGAGTTACTTCTGCATAGATTGTTTTGACATCCGTTATGACAATGTGGGCAGGCTTCTGAAGAGCGTGACGTCAATAATTAGAAAAAAAACATACCAACTTGTGTTGTAAAATACACATGCTTAAATGCAAAAGATGAAAGCTGACAAAATATCACTGTATTTGCTTTCAATATTTACCTGTCTATTCACTGTTTCTGTTTCAAGTTTGTCCCAGCGTTGTCTAAAGTCACACAGAGGTGAGATTGACCCAGGACGCTCAGAGCCTGGAGACAGCCGGCACACAAACTGATGGTTTAGACTTTCTATCTCAATCTTCTTTTGGTAGAGCTCCCGCTTGAATACCTACAAAAATAAATAAATAAATAAATAAATAAATAAATAAATAAATAAATAAATAAATAAATACAGATTAAATGCTGAATTAATATTAGGTTAAATGTTGGATTTCAATCTACTGTAGTTTCAGACACCCTCGGGGCACCGTGCCAAACCTTTGTGATTGCAATTATTTTATGAAGCCAAAGAAAGACACATACAGAATAAATTGCGCCAGCTTTAATAGAGGAGATGGGATGTGATATTATAGCTTTAGCAGCATTCTGGTCCAGGTTAGATCATAGCCTTTCTGTGTGTACATTTCATAAACTTTTGTAAGCTTTGTAACTGTGTAGCTTTGTTGGAGGAGGTATTATTGGAGGAGGTACATTATCAAAAAGAAAAAATAAGTAGGTCCTCTGGATGGGTTCTTCTTTAGTGAAACGTTTCGTCTCTCCTCCAAGACCTTCAGTCTGATGAGTTTCAGGTGAACTTAGCCTTATAAGCACTGCCTTCACATGGACAAACAGGTTTGTCACATGCAAAAGAGGGCCATCGCCTAACAATAGGCTTGATTAGCTCTATTGTTCATAGAGGGTCATATATTATTATTATATTAGTTTAAAATGGTCTCCAAACAATATCATCCATCCATCCATCCATTGTCTTCCTTTAATCTAGAGTCAGATTGCAGGGACAGCAGCTTGAGTAGAGAGACCCAAACATCTCATTCCTCAGCCACCTCTTCCTGCTCTTCTGGGAGGATTCCAAGGCATTCCTAATCCTCTCTAGTGTGTCCTGGGTCTTCCCTGGGTTCTCCTCACATTCGGATATACCTAGAGCACCTCCCTAGGGAGATGTCCAGGATGCATCCTCACCAGATGCCTGAACCACCTCAAGTGACTCCTTTCAATGTGGAGGAGCAGCAGCTCTTCTCAAAGTCTCTCCAAAATAACTGAACTTCTGACCCTATCTCTAAGGGCTACCCTGCTGAGAAATTGTTTTCGATAGCCTATACTCGCAATCTCGTTCTTTCGGTCACTACCCAAAATTCATGACCATAGGTGAGGGTAGGAATGTAAATTGAAAGATAAAAAAGAGTTTTGCCTTCTAGCTCAGCTCCCTCATCACCACAATAAAATGATACAGAGTCTGCAGTACTGTGGAAGCTGTACTGATCCATCTATCAATATCATGCTCCATTCTTCCCTCACTCATGAACAAAACCCCAAAATACTTAACTTAAATGTTCCCCCACCCCAGCTTGGCTCCTCTTACTATGGGCAACTCCAGAGTAGAATAATGTCCAGCACCTTTTGAGGAGATTAGTTCCAGAGCCCATGCTGGGCATCAAGGTGAGCCCAGCCTCTAGTCAGTACCTCTCAACTTCACACACAAGCTCAGGCTCCTTCCCCATCGGAGAGGTCACATTCCAGCAAGCAGTAACACTTTCTTTTATGGTACCCTTATTACCATGTAATTACAAGGTAATAAAAATGTAATTAAATGTAATGTATTATTACCATGTAATTACGTGTTAATTAGGGTACAATTTTACTATGCAATTAATTGTTTGCAGTAATGTAGCACTTACCTGGTAATGTATTACAATTCACTATGTAACACCTAAATAAGTAGTAGGTAATTTGGACAGTTTTAAAGTTATATTTTATTGCAATTAACCACTAACCCCAAAATTTAGTTGCACTCTTTTGGTTATAAATATAGTGTTGAGTTACTATTGAATAGTAATTTGATTGTAGTTACCCAATAAAAGTAGTTTTACTAACAGTAGTTTTTCTTTTGTACCCTAATTACCACGTAATTACATGTAATAAGGTAGTAATTACCATTTCATTTCAATTTTTTATTACCTTGTAATTACATGGTAATAAGGGTACCGTAAAAGAAAGCGTTACCAAGCAAGCTTTAGTGGGCCAGACTCAGAGCGCTAAGGTCCCTGTCTTTGTCTATTGCCCATGGCTTCATGCACCTGACTCATACAGCCTCTCATGCAGCTGGTGGGCCCAGAGGAAGGCAAACCCATGTAGCTCATTCAGGCGGAGCCATGGGTAGAGACTCTGCCACCAGGCCCTCACCGACGACGAGACCCTCCCCCAAACTGTAGTAGGATTATGTTGACAAAGTGTAATCATATAAGCAAAAAAGGCAATCATTGGAGTAATTAGTACTGAGTAGTCAGCAGATGTGTGATTTAATCCAATAAGATGCGTGATTTTATATCAAAATTATCAATAATCATTAAGATGTGTGATTTAGAAGCTTGATTTAGTAAAATATGATGTAAGCATGGAATACATGCTGAATATAATATGAATGCTGAACATACAGTAACTATGTGTGAACTATAGGAGCAACTCCAACATGGTGGTGTGCAAGCAGAAGGCAGGGGGTGCTTCAGCTCATTAAAGATCTATGCAGGGAAGACAAAAACACCAGTACCTGGAAGGCAGCTCTGTATATAGGGGACGCGAAAACACCAGTGGCAGGGAGGCCCTCCTTGGAATTAAAAAGTCAGCCTGATAGGAGCTATGCAGGTTTTGATTTAGAACTGGCAGTGTGGCCGAGTTAACATTCCAAACAGAACAGCTGGTTTGAAGCAGTGCTCATGAGAAAGCCCCAGCCTCAGCAGATCTTGTTATTATATAATTCTCAGACATGATCCCAAGGCCATGCAGTCTATGCATGCCCAAGACCGGGGAGTTATTTCAGAATCAGCTTTAGTTATTGAAATGAGTTCAAGTTTGATGAATAAATTAAAGTCCTGGGTAATCATGTACTAAACTGTAACATTGCTCATTTAAATGAGATGGTTTGATAATAAGACGTTGTTTTCAGAAAAATAAGATGTTTTGTTTTCCGAATGAAGTAGATGCATGTCTACCGAATGACAAAAAGTAATCAAGATAACGTGAGCACCATATATACATGTTTTGAAACAAAAAGTCACATATTGTTAAGTTTTAAAAGCTACATAGACTTTATCATGAGTGTGTAAAAATTAAGGGTCATGAAAAGGTGAAATAATGGAAGAAATCAGGCCACCACCAGAGGCACCCAAGAGTGGAAGGAGGGATTACAT